GACAACCCCTGTTGGGGTCGCCGTGCCCCCTTGCGAGGGTGTATCTCGGCAACCACCTGTCGGTCGNCGAGTTATGGAGGAAAACGTGGATTGACCGAAGCCACGGAGCCCCTTTTTTAGGCTCTATCTTCTCGGCCCCGGCTCCGTTGTGGACTCAAAATACATTCCGTGAACGCTGTGTCCAGTAGGATTACAACAAACTTGGTTTGAGGTCGATCCGAGCTTTCTACGCCGAGTTAGACGTGTTGTCCCAAATAAAAATTTGGGACAACGTTGTCCCAAATAGCCGTCCGTGCCGTTTGTATGTTTGGAACGTTGTGAAGTATGCAAGCAGAGAAATAAGAAATTAATTGCCGATCTAAGAAATTCAGCAGGATTTGGCTGCACGAAAAAATAAGAAACTTGAAATAAGAAACTGAACGACATATTACATATNCGTGTTGTCCCAAATAAAAATTTGGGACAACGTTGTCCCAAATAGCCGTCCGTGCCGTTTGTATGTTTGGAACGTTGTGAAGTATGCAAGCAGAGAAATAAGAAATTAATTGCCGATCTAAGAAATTCAGCAGGATTTGGCTGCACGAAAAAATAAGAAACTTGAAATAAGAAACTGAACGACATATTACATATGCTGAGTTTATAGCCCACAATAAGAATTCGAGGCTGGACCTGAAATAAGCGTTTCTTAACTGCGGGCGCCAACTCTGTAGCCAAGCTGGGACGTGGCCAACGGGGACGGGACAGCACGGCGGCGGGTAGTACATAGCTGGGACGGTGGCCATCGGGGACCGGGACAGCAGAAGGTGTATTGCTGGGACAGCGCTTCAGGGCTGGGACAGCAGGGTACGGGATATTTTTCAAGTGTAGACTAGACTAGATTATAGCGGAGAGAAGCGGCGGAATGGGTGGAGATTTAGCACGGAGGAGACTACAGCAGTTGTGCGCAAGAAGATGGAGGAGAGATCGCGCAACGCAGCAGAGAAGCTTAGAGCTGTGGAAGAGGAGTCGCGCAACGCAGCAGAGAAGCTCAGAGCTGTGGAGGAGAGGTCGCGCAAAGCAGCAGAGAAGCTACGAGCTGCCAGGTCGGAGGTGGAGAGGCTGGTGAAGGCGCTTAGAGCTGTGGAGGCTGCCAAGTATGAGGCGGAGAGGCTCAGGCAGCAGCAACCACAACAACAGCAGCGCTGCAACGCCCAATGCCAGCTGCGTGTTGCCCAGTATCCGCAGCACCAAACACAACGTCAACAGCAGGCATCTAGTGCCCAACCCCAGTCGCGACCGCAGTTGCAGCAGTGGTCTCGTAGTGGTGCTATTTGTCAGACTTACCAACAGCCGCAGCAGCAGATGCAACAGCAGCAACAACTTGTGCGTACGATGCCCGCCCTTTTCCCGAATCGCCCGGGTGCTACGGTTTTCCTGGGACACACCAGTGCCAAGATCCACGTGGTCCGCTCGGAGGAGAAGGTGTACAACAGGCGTCTACAGCGCGCGCAGGAGCAGCTGTTCATGCTCTCCGACGGAAGACGAGTTCCGGTTAAACTCTTTGGCGACCTGGATGTGATTTTCCATTGCCAAAGAGATGTGCGCGTGACGCTCACATGTGTTGGTGTTGTGCCGGGGTTGGTGCTCACAGGTGTTGGTGCTCTGTCTGGTTTGGCGCTCGACCTTCTGTCTTTTTCACGGATACAGGAAAGGTACGACATCGTCCTGAACTGGCAAGGGGCGAAGACTATGGGTGGGCAGGTGCAGTTCACCAAAATCGCCCATGGCAACTACATCCAGGCAACCCCCGTCGATCCACTGCCTACGCCCTCTGCGAGTCCCGCGGAGATGAGGCGGGCTAGAGCGGCGGCATCGGCGGCGATTTCAGCGGCGACGACGGCGGCGCCCGATTGGTCGTGTTTTCCCCGCAGTGGCATCGGGGAGGATGGCAGGAGCGCCCGCGTTGGCGACTGGAGCGGCGGCATCGGGGGCAGCTCCAGCGGCGACAGCGGCGACGGCGGCGACGGCGGTGATGTCCGGTGGCAGTGTTTCCCCAGCGCCGGCGACGGGGGGGGCGGCCGGAGTCCCCGCGGTGGCGGCAGGAGCGGCAGCATTGGCAGCGGCTCCAGCAGCGACGGCGGCGGCCTCTGGCGGCAGTGTTCCCCCGCGGCGACGGCGGCGGCGGCGGAGGTGGCCGGAGTCCCCGCGGTGGCAGCAGGAGCGGCAGCATCGGCAGCAGCTCCAGCGGCGACGGTGGCTACCTCTGGCGGTGGTGTTCTCCTCGCGACAGCGGCGGGGGGAATGGCCGGGGTCCCTGCAGTGGTGGCAGGAGCGGCGGCATCGGTAGCAACTCCAGAGGCGACGACGGCGACCTACGGCGGCGGTAGTGTTTCCCTCGGAGCGACGGCGGCGGGGGGAATGGCCGGGGTCCCTGCAGTGGTGGCAGGAGCGGCGGCATCGGTAGCAACTCCAGAGGCGACGACGGCGACCTACGGCGGCGGTAGTGTTTCCCTCGGAGCGACGGCGGCGGGGGGAATGGCCGGGGTCCCTGCAGTGGTGGCAGGAGCGGCGGCATCGGTAGCAACTCCAGAGGCGACGACGGCGACCTACGGCGGCGGTAGTGTTTCCCTCGGAGCGACGGCGGCGGGGGGAATGGCCGGGGTCCCTGCAGTGGTGGCAGGAGCGGCGGCATCGGTAGCAACTCCAGAGGCGACGACGGCGACCTACGGCGGCGGTAGTGTTTCCCTCGGAGCGACGGCGGCGGGGGGAATGGCCGGGGTCCCTGCAGTGGTGGCAGGAGCGGCGGCATCGGTAGCAACTCCAGAGGCGACGGCGGCGACCTACGGCGGCGGTAGCGTTACCCTCGCTGCGACGGCGGGGGATGCGCCCAGAGGGCCGCGACGGCAGCCGAAGCAGCGGCATCGGCGGCGGTTCCAGCGGCGACGGCGGCGGTGCCCGGCGACACTGTTATCTCCGCGACGGTGGCGGGGAGAACGACCAGAGCGCCCGCGTTGGTAGTTGGAGCGTCGGCATCTACGGCGGTTCCAGCGGCGATGGCGGCGGCACCTGACGGTGTTGTTTCTCCCGCTGCAGCGGCGGGGAGAGTGGCTCGAGAGCCCGCGCAGGTGGCTACAGCGGTAGCATCGGCGGCTCGAGTGGCGACATCGGTGACGGCAACACCCGCGACCGCGGCTACGGCACCGACCGCTACGATGGCGACCGCCTATGACGTTTCCCCCACCATATCGGTTGGGGAGGCGGCCAGCAACCGAGAAGCGGTGGTCAACGGCATCGACGACGGCAGCGATGATGGCGGTTGGTGCACAGGTGAAGTTGGTGACTGCTGGGATGACAGCGTCTGTAGCGAGAGGGGGGCGTCCACGCACCCTTTCGATCCCGGCATCGTGTGTTCAGGGGTGCGCGACACCAACGATCCCGGGGAGGACGACCTGGTCGGTGGCTCCGGCAGCAGCAGCGGCAGCGGCAGCAGCGGCACCAGCACCAGCAGCGGCAGCAGTAGCAATGACAAGGCAGAGGGGATGGATGTGGCCTGGTTTCGGGCACTGCTGCGCCCCTTCGACCCGGGGAAGCTGTACCGGCTGAAGGCTGGGAGGGTGGGGCCGGTGATGGGGGTGGACACCCCGTTCGACCGTGGAAAGATGTCGAGGGGGCAACGGTCTGGGCGCCCGTGTTCGCGACCGGAGCAGCGGCAGGAGGACCGTGAAGCGGAGAAGGGAGTTCGGAGGATCGGGCGAGTCCAACGATGACGGCCAGCAGCGCGACTTCTGCTGGGGTCTTAATCTCTCCACGGCACCTGATGTTTGAGTGCGCANTGGGGCCGGTGATGGGGGTGGACACCCCGTTCGACCGTGGAAAGATGTCGAGGGGGCAACGGTCTGGGCGCCCGTGTTCGCGACCGGAGCAGCGGCAGGAGGACCGTGAAGCGGAGAAGGGAGTTCGGAGGATCGGGCGAGTCCAACGATGACGGCCAGCAGCGCGACTTCTGCTGGGGTCTTAATCTCTCCACGGCACCTGATGTTTGAGTGCGCATTCTTTTTGTTTTGATTTGGTGTTGTGCAATCTGTTGTTTTTGTGTTGTCTTCAGATCCCAATACAACTGATGTACTTTTCACCGTTGTTTGAATGTCTGCAAATTTTCCTGTCGTAAGCGCATTCACAGGATTTGATATTATTTGGTTTTGTTCGGTAGAGATGTCCGCTCGCTTTTACCTTGCAGGGGCACTAGTTTCTACGGCCGAATTGCATGAGATTTCCATGGTACATTATTGCTCTTTTTTTGGGAGGCGAATGGAATGTTCCGGCCGGGGGGCTGTTGTTTGCCAGGAAAACATCTCAAATGGCGGTGGTGGAATGATTTCCGCGTATGGTTTTTTCCACTTTGCTTTTTTTTTCCTGCTTTGTTGGGATAACATTCTCTATGGTAGCTACCGCAATGTTTTTCTGGTGATGCTGATATGCGTAGTAGGCGTTGGCTTGGCGTGCGACGTGCTGGGTAAGACGTTGGGGGGCACGCACCATTTCTCTGTCCCTCCGATGTACCGGTACCCGACTAGCCAACCCTTATGGAGCATCACTTTTCCTTCCCAAGTAGCCCTGTACGGCAGACTGGTATGTGCTGGACGTGTGGCGTCTTTTTCTTTGATGTTTGTTGGTTTCTTGTTTCGGTTTGGAGTTTTATTCATGATGGAGTTGGAATGCAGAATTGGCATGCTGGATGTTGCGGAGTCGCGCCTGATTCTGCACTGCTGTCGGGGTGCATGGGGGGAGGGATAAGATACCATGCTGTCCGCCGCAGCACAACAAGCAGTATTTCTGACATTGAGTTTGGTAGTTTACGTTTGGATTTTCCGCGTTTTCCCTACGGATGGAATTGATGGTGTTGATTAAGGGGATTTGTGTAGTTCATGTTTGGATCGATCATTTTCCGCGTTTTACCTGCGGAGTTGATGTGGAATTGAACATTGAATGGGATTTTTGCTGCATTTATATGATGAGGTGTCCCAGCGTGGGGGCTGTTGGATGGATAAGCTGAGACGGAGGAATCGAAGCCGCATCAGTTTTGACGAACGTTTTACTAGAAACTATTTCCGAACACGTTTGGGATTACTTCATCGGTGTGTTTGCGGACTTTGCTTTTGTACACGTATGTCTGTGTATTGGAGGAAGGGTTTGGCATGTCTCGATGAGTCATGGCTGAAGCCGTTGTGCTTCCGGAGGTTATTTGAACTGGTCATTGAGTTTAACCTGATTTCAATCTGAGGAATCTGTTCTGAGTAGTTGGGGCACGTTTCCCCGGAGTTACCCGTCCCCGCTTTGACGCAACTCCGATGTAATGTTGATCTTTGCTTGGTATTTTCCAAGGGTAATTGCTTGCTTTCGACTGCTTGAGAAATTGGTAGATCATTTTCTCAAGAGGGTGATTTGTTAATTGACAGACCTTTTAGGGGATAGCAATTTGACATCATCAGAAGATTTGAAAGATTTCGTAGAAAATGTTTTATTGGGAGATCGACACATTTCGTAGAACATTGTTTTTTTGGGACGACATTGTTTGAATTGGAATGAATGATGGATAATTCAGTTTGGGTGCGTAGTTTGATTGATGCCTTTTACCTGGCAATGATAATCGTGACGGGGATTTCGTAGATCGTATCTCGTACCGAGCAGGGGGGCTGTTTGGGGTGCTCGGCAGAGTATTCTGTCTACGGGGTCGCCGGGGGGATACGCGGATGAAATGTATTGATGGGCATGCTGCACGGCGATGATGGTGTTGCCTACCGCATGTATGTCTCTCACTCTCTATGCAACAAGGTCTCGATGCCGAGGAAAACTGTTACAACGTAGTCAGGCACAGTTAGTTTACGATAGGTGCGACTGCGGCAATTGGCCTTCCGTAGACATAATACAGAAAGAAGAGATGGTACTAAACAGAGGACATGAGCACAGAGTTGTAGCGGAGATAATTTGGCAGGCGAGACTGTAATTATTTTTGTTCCGAACCCCGAAATTCGGTACTCGGGCCATTACTCCGGAGACCCTCGGAACCTGCTGTGTTTTTGCTGCTTGTTTTT